TCCAAGAATGGCAGGCGCTGCAGGACATAATGAGATTCTACTACGATTACAGAATCTCAACAACAAAGAACATTTTTTAGAAAATTTTTGGAGAAAGGTTGGTCTGCTGTTGTAGGTAATCTTCAGTCAGAATATTTTGACGTAATTCCAGGCATTCAATCTAATTGGAAGCACAATTATGTGATTTTCAGAACTTACATAATTTCCCGTTATCGGGAAATAGCAATATCTGCGAAAATTCTGATCTCCTTAAAAAGTAAGTATTCATATATTTTGAGCAAGTTCTGATAAAAAGCAAAAAAAGGTGAAGCGCTAAAATTTTAGTTTACGTCGCGCCATGCTCTTATCGCCAACGGGTCCTTGTGAAAATCTTGAATTTCCGAGTTAATCATCAGTTTGAGTTGAAACTATCACTTGAATAGCCTTATGCTTGATTTTTAAATGAACACTAAGCACTGAGATTAAATATGTGATCAATATTCAATCTCATTTAGCCTGTTCTATGTCTGTTCCCACGTTCTCAAAAGGGAGCATTCCTCGTAACCCGAGGGATTAGCGAATCTCTTTTAATAATGCGCAGATGCATAGTTTTCGTAGTATGCTTCCGCAGTTGGGTCAATCTATGCAAATTCAACAATTTTGAATAGAGCTCGCACCACTCATTTCATATGTGGATTTAAGCAGTAACTTATGAAACCTTCTGCATGGGTAAACACGAAAAACACATGGCTTCGCATTTCTTGCATTTTGTCGATACTGAGTGCAAGTGATGCATCTACGAATATAAAATAGGAACGTCCAAAAAATACTGCTCAAATAGTTTTTTCTCAGCAGGAAGGCCTGAATACCATTGGAAAACACATCCCTCAGCGAGTGTCAAATTTTGGCTACGTAATAATTGACGAATTATTCGATAACGATGAATTTTATTGTGCTCATCTTTTCACCTACATGAAAAGATAGGCACAACAAAATTCTTCAAAAAAGCGCTCGTTATTGTGAAAAGTGCGCATTCAATAATTCAGGTTTCTTTGTATAATAAGAGCGTTCGTTTCTTCATTTGAATTCCAGATTGGTTTTTCTCATACTGTTG